GCTCTTTCCTTTCTGTGCTTTGCTTCTTTTCACTCTGGAAAGAAGCTTGGACACACCCTGCTTGAAAATCTCTCTTTTCATTTAAATATTTCTCTATAAATCTTCAAAACTGTTCAACTTTTCTGTTTCTTTCCACATCTCTCTTTTTTATCTTTTAAAATGTATTTTTCATCAATTGATCATTTTTTTCTATGTCACTAGTTCATAAACTATAAAATAGTCAGTTAATAATTGTTTTAAAATAGACTGGGTTCCCACATGGCCAATGCAGTTCAAGTCTCAGAACTGGTGGTTTGCTTTCTTACTTTCCCTCTTTTTCTCTCTCTGTTGAGTACATGTGTCCTACAGAAATTTAAATAATAATAATAATAATAAATAAAATAAAATAAATAATTATAGAAAGAGAAAAAATGGAGTGGCCCAGAGATGAGCACATTCCGCATAGGAAATAAAGTAGGTAATGCACATGGCGTAAGAGATGATACAGTACTTTCTGGAATTTACTGTCTGCCTTTATCAATCTGTGTGATAGGCTCTGTTTCTCTCTCTGTTGTATATATAGCTATATATTTTTTTGAAGTGGATAACATAGAAACCCTATTTCCTTTTACTCAGTTGAATTGTAGTCAACATATTTATCTTATCATTGCCCAAAGATGACACTTAATGATGAATTTGGAGGAAGAAAAGTATGGTGCCATTGCTGATCTAAAAATTAAGCTTGTGGAGGGCAACATGTGGCATAGTGGTTAAGGCACTAGACTTCCACATGGTCAACTCTGGTTGGAGTCCTGGACCCGGCGACTTGAAACTCATACCAAATGTGTGTGCATGCATACTCAAGATACTGAGAGGAGAATGATGGAGAAGGGATTGTGGTGTGGCCATCCCCCGTGGGGGATGATTTCTCAATTTTTGTCTCTCTGTCCCTCTCTGTCTCTCTGGTGAGCACACATGCCCTACAGCAAAAAAAAAAAAAAAAATCTCTCTAAAAAAAATTAACCTTGAATTCCAAGGAAGGTTTAAACAGCAGTATACCTGCCAGGGACAACATCAACATTATAGACTCTGAAATATATAACTTCACTGCAATGGCATTGATAGTTTTGCATAAGCAACCTTAACTCATCTGCCCATATAATTAAAATTCCTTTAAATCCTAAACGTTCACCTTGTTTACACTCTTGTAAGTGCAGATATTTGTCAGTGTTTTAAATTAAAAAAAAACAACTAAAAACAAACAAACAAACAAACAAAAACCAACCAAACTATTCCTCAGGTTTCAGTGACCAAATTTAGCTATTAATATTGTTTTCTTTTAGACATGTTTTCTGTATACTGCTTTCTTTTCTGTATATTGCATAAACATACAGAAAAATTCAAATGTTCTGACTTTGGGCACTTTTCACAATTGCAAATTTTCTAAATAATCTTTCTTTATCCTTCCTTATTCTGATTGTAAACTTTTTCAGAGGCTCTTTTATGGAGCCATTTCCTGTCAACACAAATACCAGCTAGAAAGGGAGTCTGATTATTTGAATGAATTTATCTGTAAGTGCAATATAATAGCTCAGCAGTAAGACACTACACTCTGGGAAGCTGAGCCACTAGGAAAGCTCTAGATTTGCATCTGGGACATCCGTAAATATGTGACACACAAGTAGTCTGGAGCTGGCTGAGCTGGAGGTCAGCTGTGGCATACGAGATCACATCAGGAGTGGTTCTCTCGCTCTTGTCCATGGAAAAAATAAATTAAACCTAAAAACCTACCTGTGGAGACCAGCACATGGTGTAATGGTTACGTCACTGGACTCCAACACAGCCAACTGTAGTTCAAGTCCCAGACCCAGTGGCTTGAAACTCAAGCTCATGTATATGCATGCCCAAGATACCGAGAGGAGAATAGAGAAGAAGGGACTGCAGCATGACCATTCCTCCTGGGGCGTGATTTCTCTCTGTCTCTCTCTCTCTCTCTGGCGAGCACACACACCTTATAGGAAAATAACTCTCTTAAAAAAAAAAATCCACCTGTGTAAATGAATGTGTTTGGGTCAGAGTGTTGTTTTACTGGATTCTTGATCTTGCAAATAGGAACCATTTCTGGTCCCAGTGTATAGTTCAGTCATGAATGACAGACTCCCTTGGAATGCCAAAGCTTTTCTCCTCAGATACCTGCTTTATACATCATGTTATACTTTTTTTTTTTCATAACCCCCTAGATATCTAGGAAGGCAAGTCTCTTTACTCTCAAACAGGTAGTCCCAGATGGTGGGGCACACTCTAACACAGATCCTCTATTTTGAAATCTCCCAACTAGTGATGACTTATCTCTACATTCATATAATATCTGCAAGTTAGTTCTCATATTTAACACCCATTTACCTTCCCATGAGAATAGATTTGAGTGTCACACTCTCACCTCCAGGTAAACTATGTCACTCAGAAACTCCCCAACCCATTCAGCTTTAATATCATCTGGTAGGAAATTTCCCCAAGCCACTTTGCTCTCTTCTGACAGAGGAGATGAATTAGAAGATTTCAGACTACTTTGGAAGTGTAATAATTACAGACTTTTATAATTTTGTTTTTAACAATATGTGGTCTCCAGAAAACAGTGCACTATTAGAGATCTAGGGAGGGCCTCTGCAAATCTCATTAGCTGTTTTATATCCCTAGTTCAGAACCAGGGAACTATGTGCTATTATCCAGAATGGAAGGTTTCTTTCTTCACAATTGATGGGCTCAGTGACACTGAAAGAACTGGAGAATGTTTTTGTTTTTCTCTTTCTATTTTAACATCTCTTTCAACTTGGAGACTTAGTCTTCGCCTTATCCCATCTCTGGCAAAGCTGAAACATATATGTATTATTTTCATGACACAATATTAAATAATCCATGTGTTTAATATCCTTTTACCAGATACTTTCTAAAAACATGCAGCCTGTTGGGAGTCACTGGCAGTCTCACTAGCTCTTTTTCCTTTTTTTTTTTTTTAAAGAAATATTTATTTTTCTTAATTTGATGAGAGAGACAGAAAAAGAAAGAAAGGGAAAGTGAGAAAGCAAGCTGCCAGGTCCAGGATTTGAGCCACAGTTGGCCACGTGGGAGTCTAGAACCTTAACCACCATGCCACGGCCTGCCCTAGTTTTACTTGCTGTTAATGTTTTCTGGAAAATACACTGAGAAGAGAAGGTTACTTTCTGGGACAGAGGCCTTCATAATAATTTAAAATCTAGACTCCAATTAAATTTCAATTCCATGTACATAAAACGGTAATTACAGGGCAAGTCTCAAAATTTCCTCTAAACATCTTAGTTTTAATTATTACTAAAAAAAGACAGGTTAGATTTGGTGATGAACACAACTACAAACCATAACATAAAGGCAGACCATTTTAATAACACATCCCTAATATTAATGACAAACCTGTGAGAAAGAAATAATTAACCTCAAGTTTCAATTAGAAAATTGTGAATTAGAAAGTTCGATTTTTTTTTTAAATTTATTTTTTTTTTGGAGAGATTTTCAATGTAGGGCGCGTGTGCTCGCCAGACAGACAGAGAGAGACATAGAGACAGAAAGCGAGAAATCACCCCCCAGGGGGGATGGTCACGCCGCAATCCCTTCTCCTCCATTCTCCTCTCGGGATCTTGGGCACGCACGCACACGTGCCCGGCGTGAGTTTTAAGCCACCGGGTCCGGGACACGAACCGCGGTCGACTACGTGGGAGCCCAGCGACACAGCCATTACGCTAACTGCTGGTTCCCGAAAGTTCGATTATTATGTCAAAGTTATTCAGTGGTAGATGGGATTTGGACTCCAGGAATGCAACTGCCAAAGCTCTCTCCAGAAATCAGATTGTAAAGAAGTTAAATAACTCTGGTTAATTCTCATTCTAATTCAGTTCTGCAGTTTTCCCCTTTAATTCTTTTTTTTGGAGAGGTTTTTGCTATAGGGCACGTGTGCTCGCCAGAAAGACAGAGAGAGACAGAGAGACAGAAAGCAAGAAATCACTCCTGGGGCGGAGGGCCATGCCGCAATCCTTTCTCCTCCATTCTCCTCTCGGGATCTTGGGCATGCACGCACACGCGCCGGGCGTGAGTTTAAGCCACTGGGTCCGGGACGTGAACCACAGTCGACTACAAGGAAGTCCAGCGACATAGCCATTACGTTAACTGCTGGTTCCTTCCCCACTTAATTCTGAGGTAAAGATCAACTTATTTGTTTAAAATTTAAGACATTGTTCCATGTGGACCGAATTTCACTCCAAGCCTTCCTATCTCCTGTTCTTGTTACTCACATCCTGTCCTCTAGCCTGTGATCCCTATGGCAGCTGCCCCGAAATTCCTCTATAAGTTTCACAGGCATACCATTGTGCAAATTCAGGAACAGACCATTGAATTGTTCTCTTGGTGGTGGCACCGAACTTTTGGTAAAATGTGTCCAGCTGATATGTATAGCTGGTTGTGAATTTGTACTTAGTTTTACATGATTTTTGATTTGGGATACTGATTACAGGAAACACAAGAACTCTCTGCATGTGTATTTATAAATTTATATGAATCTGCATGTAATTCACAGTAAAAAGACTAACAGAAAATCTGTGATTAAGTCAGAAGTGTTTCTGGTATTGTAAAATATTAAGGGTCTAGGCATGAGTTTAATTGCCATTCCCCAAATTCACTCTCCTTTTTGTTGCATTTTTTTCTCTTGCTCTTTTCAACTCAGTGGTTTGAAGTACTTTCACATCTCTTCTCTATGTTAGGCTCTGTAAGTGGTCTTATTACATCTCCTTCCAACTCCCAACTGCTACTTCTCGGTACATCAGATCAGATTGTCCCAAAACTCTTGCTGAGAAAAGATCTGTTGAAAAGTATATAAAGTAAGTTTTGTGACCTACATTGCAACCCTCAGCAAGGATACAGAATATCTCTCTGTCTTATCTGTCATGGACCTTGTGTCTTACGCCCCATCAAGTTCTTCAACAGCAAGTCAATAAAGGACAGTCCTCAGCTGGGTGGAGGTAGCTAGAGGAAAGGTGAAGGAAACAGACACGACCTCTAGAGCTATTGGCCTCTCTACTGTGGTGGGTCAGGTGAGCATTCTAGAGGTGTATCCTTTATTGTTGTGAAGACCCTTCTAGGTCCATCTTCCTGAAATAATTCTTATTTTCTGAGGAACAATTGATATTTCAATGTAGATATTTCCTTAAATGCAGTCAGACTCCCTGTGGGATAACCCAGAAGTTTAGGAGAGTAGACAGTTCCTTTTCTGATGTGTGAAGAGGACTTTGTTTTGGGTTTATCAAGTCTCCAGGGAGCCTTCTATTCACATGCTATGTCTTCTTGCTCCTGAGGGTTTGGGGAAAACAAAGGATAGAGTCCACATAAGTAGGAATTTAAGGAGTGAAGTTCCTTTACCTTTCATTTGGAAATGAACAATTTGTCCCTGTGCCCTGTGTTATGAACATTCCTAAATGTTTCTTGTCTGCCATAGATTTGACAAAATGCCGCTCTTCTCATCATGGATCAAAGCTATTTTTATCATTGTGTTGGCATTTCCTCTTTTTTCTGGTGAGTAAATTTTCAAATCATGGGTGACGCTTTTCATATTTCTTTCAAAATGCAAAAAACAGCTGCTGTTTTCTAGGAATGGAGAGGTTGTATTTAATGTGTTTGTAATAGTTAAAGTTTTGAAAATGAAGTAAGGCATGTTATAAATACCTTTTTTAGAATGTATCAGTGGATTGCTTTTTCTCATTTTCTACCTCAGACAAGTGGAGGAGAGCAGTGAGTTAGAAGGATAGGGGTCCTTCGATTTTGTTCATATCTGAATGCACAGGTGAACACCTCTGACCGCCCATTTTCTTTCTTTCTGAAGTTCTGATTCTTCCATTGTTAAATGCTTAGTATGGAGGTAATGATGTCTTCTAAAACTGATATCCTTGATAATCTAATCTGTTATTTGCCATCTCTCAGTCCTTTTAATTAAGGCTTTGTGTGAGGAGAGGATTCATTGATCCTTCTGCTGACAAGTTGTCCTTTTCAAAGCTCATAAATTTCAGAATAAAGTAACCAGTAAGTGTTGGGTTGATCTCTGATATTAGAGGTGAATACTAACTAATTCTGTGCTAATTAATTTCTTTATGTTATGTCAATTTATGCAAGACATAGTAAATGACAAAACAAGGCTGTTTATCTTTTCTGTCTGTGCTGTCTTATGTATAAAAATGAAGAAAACCTTGATTTCTATGGAGATATTTAAAACACATAAGGTTATTTTCCAAATGGAATATTCATTTGGGAGTTATAGAATATTTGGGACTTGAGATATTTTATGTGAATTTATTGTTTTGCTGAATTTATAGTTTTATGTTAATTATGGTTTTGTAGCATTATGTAGGTCATGAGTAAGGATTCTTACAGATTTCTGCTCCTGAGACATTTGGGTACCTCCCCTCAGGGCTCTGGTTTTTCCCCCTCTTCATAATTGTTCATCATTTCTTTGTGTGTTTTTACAGGAACTCTTGTTGTACCCATACCACGATTAGACATACAGGTATGTTGATACTGATTATCTTGGAAACTGAAAAAAGGTAAATTTTCACTTTGTATATTATAAATTAGAATAGCAATTTTTTAAAGAATGATTTTATTGAATTGAATTTATTTATTTATATTTAATTTGACCAGAGAAGAACAGAGTGAGAGAGAGAGAGAGATAGAGAGAAAGTAAGAAAGCAAGCCACCAGGTCCAGGACCCAAACTGCAGTTGGCCATGTGGGAATCCAGCACCCTGAACCACCACACCACCTGCCAGCCTCTTAATAATAAATTTTATGACATATAGTGCACTACAGAATGACCTTCAAAAGAAAAATTAATAGCAAAGCAAACAGCAACTTAAAACTCCTGTGGAATTATAATACAAAGCTAAGTTTATTGGCCATCACAGACAAGGAAAAAATATCCCGCTGTTCAAAGATTCCAGTAGTGGGCATAAGCTATGTGGTGCATAAGCATCCAGTATGTGTTAAGGGTGTTTAAAGGAGAATCGTTCATCCTAGCATAGCAAGAGTATTTGAAGAAACAACAAACCAGTTAAGTACTTAAGGGTGGATAAAACAATAATTTTCATATACCCACAAAAGAGAATTTTATGTAGAGGTAAAGAAAATGAACTGTAATTCTAAACATCTGAATTGATAAAGGTTACAAAGAAATTTAAAAAGCACATCATGTAGGAAAACACAGCATTTTCTATTTGCATACATTACAACACTGACAACACTAAACAAATTATATATATCTATGTATACATAGATATAGATATATATAATGAAATATATTTATCATCCTATATAGACATGCATGCATACCAACATAGATACACACACATATACTTGTATGCACACACACACACACACACACACACACACACACACAAAGTATTTTTGTATCCATGATCCGGGCTGGTTTAAAAGGCTGGGAGGGTTTTGCTATGAAAGCCTACTGAAGGAACTTTCTCATACTCCTCCTTTCTGTCTCTTTGTCTTTCATGGAAGAAATAAATAACTTTAAAAATCATTGGCTAGGGGCCACAGGTCTTGTAGTGGTTAAGGCGCTAGACTCCTACATGGTCAACCACTGTTCGAATCCTTGATGAGATGGCCTGAAAAATTAGACCAGGTACTTGTGTGTGCATAACCAAAATCCTGAGAGGAGATTGAGAAAAAGGGTTTGTGGCGTGGCCATTCATAGTGGGGGGGGGATGAGTTGGTGGTGATTTTTCACTTTCCTTCTCTCTATCTCTCTGTCTCTCTCTAGCAGGGCACACACCTGTGACAAAAACTTAAAAAAAAAAATCATGGGGTTTATTTGACCTGGATATGACAAGATGTGGAGGCAATGAGGCTCAACTACAAAATATATGCAACAATTTTTATGGCTATTATCTAAAAAAGCTAGATATATAAAAATATATCAATAACATTTTATGTGTAAGTGGGTTGTAAACGTCTGCATACTCATTTTTATTTTTTAGGTATTTTGATTTTTTTAAAGGTTCTTTATTCTGAAAGAGAAAGAGAGAAAGTAGCACCTTTGAGACAGTCTTGAGGCTGTGATCCACCCTCAGCTTCAGCCATCCTGATCATGGGCACATGAGCTCAGTGTACTCAGATAATACTCTGGATCTGAACCAGCGGTCTTCCCATGTGTATTTATAAACCTAAATATAGGATATATTTCTTTCACTTCTGTGTATGACACTTGATAGAAAGAAAACAGGATTTTATTTTAAAAGTTGATTATAGGGAAAATTTTCTAACATCTCTTTTTGTTTAGTAGCCATACTGCAAGAAGTTTGAAAATCGACTATTTATGTGCACCAGAGAAATGCGTCCAGTCTGTGGCACTAATGGCGAAACTTACAGCAATGAATGCATTTTCTGCAGTAGTATGTTGTAAGAACACAAGATTAAATATTGACTCTCTCAAAGTAATGAAAGACCCATCACAAAATTATAGAAAAAACAGTGATCCTGATGACCAAAGCAAATATATATATATACATACATATATATAAAGAAGTGTCTCTGTAAATGCCATAGGAAAACACTTGGAGCTTCTCTGAAGGTCTCATTTCTAAAAGTAGTTTTGTGTTTGACCTTTCAGTATAAATCCACTAGGTAGTCTGCAAATGTAAAAATCAATTAATTTAATTTGATTACTATGAATTACTCACAGCAGAATAATGACCAATATCAAGGCATTCCAAAGCTGAATGATCATCCCTATAATGTTGATCCAATTTAGCAAGAAACTTGACTAATTATGGGGATCTGCGATCCATCACAGTGGGCTATGCTGCTGCAAAGGGACCCATCTGATGAGCTGCTTTGTCTCCTGAATCTGTGGTAGCCTGTGAGCCTGCCTTAGAGTGCAGGAGTCTAGGACACTTCCACCCTCCCTTCCTGTCTCCTTCCCTCTGAAAAAGTTTGCAGTGTCAAGGTTTAGTCAGCCTTCCTACCCACTGCCAGATTTTCTCTCACAGGGTTTTCCTTTTATGGAATCTTTGCACATTTAATCCCCAAATTATCTCCTGCTTTTAGAGAATCACTAAGACCAAGTCTAATTTTTTCCTTACCTGGGTTTAGGTGGGTCCCAAGCCTGAGTCAGGGCTGGGCATGCAGGTAGCTCTAGCTAGAGGCAAGGACTTATGCAGTGTTAAGTAACAGATGGAGCTCACCTGCCTGAAGAAGTAAAGCACAGATGTTCCTCTGGGCTGAGAAGCATTTTAGGTAATACTCAGAGAATTAAAATTTTGTTTAAATGATTTGTTTTTCCTTCTCTCTCTCTTATTTTCAGAACAAGTGAAGCAAATTTTGAATTCGCTCGTTGGGGTAGATGCTGATATTCTGCCTGAGCTACACATTCCAATGATTTCATTGTAATCCTGTTACTGGTGGATCCTACTACCCTCTTCTCAGTAAGGGTCTTAAATTTCTAGATTGCCAGTTGAAGCTTTCTATGGTGTTAAGTGCAATAGAAGATTTCAAAGAATCTTTTCAACTCTAGGAACCTGTATTAAAGAATTTTTAGTGTCCCTGTGATAGTGATAGTTTTGAAAAAGGATTATCTTAAATATGTGGATGACTCTATAAAACCCAATGCCATTTATAATCATAAATATTTCATTCAATAAAATTTAAAATAATAATTATTTTGTAAAATGTCCTTTATTTCTTTGGTTGGATAAATTAAAACACATATACCTAGGGGCCAGCAGGTGGCATAGTGATTAAGACTCCTACGTGACTGAACAGGGTTAAAGTCCTGGACCTAGCAACTTGAAAATCACATCAGGTGCATGTTCATTATGCCCCAAATCCCAGGAAGAGAATAAAAAAGAAGATAGTGTGGCACCCATCTCCCCTTGGGGGGTGATTTCTCACTTTTCCTCTCACTGACTTTCTCTCCAGCGAGTGCCTGCATTCTATTGCAAAAACCTAAAAAAGAAAAATAAAATAAAATTAAAAAAGATTTGTGCAGGGTTTTTGTTCTTTTAATTATATATGCCATTTATTTGTAAACATTTATTTATTATTATTATTTTTTAATTTTGCATGCACTCACCAGAGAGAGACAGAGTTCAGAGTGAAAGTGACAAAGAAGGTTGCCAGTTTTAGGACTTGAACTGTGGTTAGCCATATGGGGACCCAGCACCTTAACCACTACACCACTTGCACATTTCTATTTCTCAGCCTGCCAAAACCAGCTTTTATAAGGATTGGCTAAATATTCAGTTTTTAAAGCTTCTTAATTATTTCATCCATGAACAAGAGAGATGAGCAAGAGAGAGTGAGAGAGACAACACCTCCAACAGGTTCTTGATCCCGTAATCCATCCAAGCTTAAGTCATAGACCAGGGGCATGTGCTGCCTGTTAGTACTCAGAGAGGTCTCCAGACCTCACAGAGCACTGGATTTTACTGATATGCCACCATTTCACCTCAAAACATTCAGTAAATACCTGATCTTAATGGCAAAAATGTACATTAACAACTGGAGAAAATTACTAATCTGCTACATATACCATACCAGGCCCACACTTCTTTTCAGTAAAAATGTTCACACTTGAAAGAGTTATCTATGTAGAAGCTATATATGCATTTAATCTCTAGTATTATTTACCAATAAAAGTGCCCATTAGAATGCATAATTTTAGAAACACTTTAAAAACTAAGTCAGTGCACTTACCAAATACCGATAAAGATATTTGTATGAATTTATCCAGTAAAAACATTTTAGTTATTTTGACTGGAAAAATTCTCTATATTTATGATGTTTTAATATATTGAATAAATTTGAATATATTGTGAAATAATGAAATTGAGCCAATTAATATATCCTTCATCTCACATACTTATTTTTAGGGGAAGAGAGAAAAAACTTTTATCTTAAAATTTCATGTTTCAAATTTATGTTTCATACCCTAAGTACTATAGAAAAAAATGTAGGCATTCTGCTTATAAGCATAGAATGATGCCAAATAAGAGAACAGAGTATTAATAATAATTTTTAATAATAATTTTTAAATTGGCACTCACAGTTTTTTCTTTTGCTATTTATTGGGTTAACTGCAGCATTTACCCTTAAGGTTGGTAAACATGTTATCAGAATATTATGCAAGTGAATATCTCTTTTACACAATGGCCCACTGGGTTGCATTACTCTCAACCAAAACAAAACCCACTGGCACTGTACACTAAACTGGATCTGTATCACAGGTTGCAAGAACTGGTGAAAGTCAAAATGAATCTGAGTTTGGAGGAACTCTTTAGTAGTTAATCTCTGGGTTTGGGGAAGACAAATAGACCCACAACTCATTTCACATATCTTTAAAATAGCAAGTGTTTGGGACCAGCAGGCGGTGTAGTGATTAATACAATGGACTCTCACAGAACTGACAGCTGTTTAAGTCCTAGAATCGGAAACATGAAATTGACGCTGGGTACATTTGTGTGTTTTCCAAAATCCCAAAAGAATGGAGAAGAGTGATTGTGGTATGGCTATACCCTTGAGGAATGACTTCTCTCTCTCTTTCTGACTCCGAAAACACATTTGCCCCATAGCAAAAATCTCTCTTAAAACAAAACAAAAAACAAACAAACAAACAAAAAACCAAGTAAGTGTTTTACCAGCTTAAACCATTTGTTATAATGTAAAACTTAATACACTGGGGATTTACCTTGAATTATAGCTGCAATCGGATCCACTGACTACATACAGACACTGGCATTTACAGTAAGGGCAAATTTTAAAAACTGTTTTGGACATTGAAAGTAAGGCCATAGTATGAAAAACAGTCCATGGTCTCACAGTCAGGAAATCAATACTGAAATATTCTATTTTTGTATGATAGAGGTCAAGAAAACTTTACATACGGTACAAGTGTATGTTATACAACTTTCCACTTAAACCAGTTTTGCAGAGATAACCATGAGCCAGATCACTGATAGAAGAGCTTGTATAGCGTTGTAATACAATGATGTGTTTTGAAAGTTATTGAGTAACTACCAAACGTTATAAAATAGGATTTTGGTGCAGTTGTTGGCAGACACAAGGGCCACAGGGATATACTGGGCTTCATTCTGTGAAAGCCCCAAGTGCCCTCTCCAAATTCACCATAGTGCAATTTACTAAAAGTATACTATTCATTCTTTTGGCAGTGCATAAGATTGTTGGCTTATTACTGACTTGGGTGTTTCTAGAGCCTTAAACTTTCAAATGGTCAGTTAATTCTCAATGCTTGGTTATCTTAGCTAGATACTTATAATCTGATTCACTAATTGTCAACCAGTGTATCTGAATCATGAGTGAGCATGTTAAATTACTATTTTTCCTCACTAAATGAAAAAAGTTAATCCTTTTACCATTTCCTGAATCTAGATTTCAGTGGTTTCACTTCAAAGCTACTCAACTGAGAACACTTAATATCAAGTATACAGTTACTTCTTTTAAGTACCACTGATGATAGTGCCATTACATCACAGTGCAATGACACATTAATGAGATATAATTATATTTTTACATTAATTCACAGTTTTACATAGAGAATCTATTTCAGTCCAATGTACAACTCTCAGTAAACATAAATTTAAATATTAGAATTCTATCTTACTTTTATACCTGTACTTTAAGTAAAATCTTAAGTTGAAATGTCATTATTTCCTTACCTGAGGGTTAAAGGAAAATAGGAACCCAATGGCTTGGTGGTTGGAGAAGAACACTTGGTGATGGGGGCTCACTAAATCAGGCTCCCGCATAGTTCTGATGAGTTTCAGGTTTAGAAAGTAAATTGGGACTGGAAAAGCCAGAGTTCCAACTATGATTATTTGGAAAATTTCTGTTCTTGCCCCCATTTTTCATGGCCTGCCAGGCAGCTGCTGATGAAGTAGAAATATGTCCTCTCTTTTGTTATGAAAAAGCTTCATCTGGGAATTCTGATCATATCTCTGTCTATTACATTGTTGTTGTTTCTTACTAACATTTCTAGGCTGAGGGTCTGGAATGTTATGTCTCTCTCCACCACCCATCTTTGGCTCCTTTGTCACATTTCATCCTGCTTTTGGGGTTGCAGGATTTCTGCCACCCATCTCTTCTTGGCTGCCAAGCCCAGAGTAATAGGTGTTGCTGATGGATCCTCCCCTTTGTCTCAATGCATGAGTTTTCATAGACCAATTTGCTGAGTTGAGCTCAGGAGCTGAGACCAGCATCTGAGTTCCCTCAGCACAGAAATTTGAGAAAAGTCTTGGTGACTTGAAGCTGGAAACTTTGAGGTGGTTCTGTCTCAACCTCCAAGCCTCCCTCACTCTCTGGAGAAAGAAGGGGCATGGATAACATAAAGTCCACCAGCGTGGAGCAGCTATTTGCCAGCTACCCCAGCATTTCCAACTCTGCCTCCTCCTCTGCCTCTACTCACAAATTAGAGCACATACTTGTTTTGAGAACACTTAAAATCTACTCTCGGGCCAGCCCGTAGCCTAGCAGTTAAGGAGACTGGACCCTCATGGCTGACCACCATGGCTCAGGTCCCAGACATATGACTTGGAAAACATGGTGAGCCCATGGGCATACATGCCTTAAATCTGGACAGGAAGAAGTAGAGAACTGAACGCTGCCTACCTTGCCTCATGGAGGGTGCTTTCCATGTCCCTTGTTTTCTGTTTCTCTTGCTTTCTCTGCCTCTCTCTCCAGGAAGTGCTCTGCCCTCTAGCAAATGAAAAAGATATCCTCTCTTGGCAGTTTTTAAGTATAGGATGCACTATTAATCACTATTCTACTCTATGTTGGCGGTTTTCAAGTATACACTATACTAGATAATCTCCATTCTGCTGTTTCTTGAGCTTTTCTTTTTTTTTTTCCCCACATTCTACATGTAAAGGAGAACATACATTATCTGTCTTAATGTGCATGGTTTGTTTTTCTTAGCATAATGTCCTCTAGGTCCATCTTTTTAAATATATATGACAATTTTCTTTTTTCTTCTATTGCACACGCATACACTAAATTGTTTTCTCCCATGCATCCATTTATAAAGATATTGGTAGATTTCTCATCTTGTCCGTTGAATATAATATTGTAATAAAGACAGAGTACAGACCTCTTTGACATTCTGACTTCATTTAATTTGTATATAATCTCAGAATTGGGATTGCTGGATCATGTGGTAGTTCTAGTTTGAATATTATGAGGAGCCTCTATGTTATATTTCATAGTGGCTCTACTATTTACATTCTTACTCTCGGTGTATAAATTTTTCTTTCTGGGACCAGCAGTTAGTGTAATGGCTATGTCGCTGGACTCCATGGATTTCTTCGGAAGTTTAATACATATGGAATTCTACAATTCTGTTTTCAACAATATTTTGTCTATAGAAAAATGGACACTATTTAGTAACCTGGTGGAGGGCTCCATGCAAATCTCACTTGCTGTTTTGTATCTCTAGATCAAATCCAGGGAGCTATCTAGTCTGTTACCCAAAAAGAAAGGTTTCTTTGTTCACAATCAATGAGGGCAGGGATATTGGAAGAACTGGAGAATGTTTTTGTTTCCATTAATGTTCTCTCTCTATTTTCACATCTGTTTTGACTTGAAGATGTAGTCTTCTCCTAATCTCGTCTTTGGCAAAAGTGAGTAATATATGTATTGCTTTCATGATGCTATATTAAATAATTCATGTGTCTAGCATCTCTTTACCAAACAGTTTTTTAAAAACGTGTGGCCTGTTGTGACCTTTGGCGGTCTCCTGCTCTTAAACTATGCTGATGAATACCTATAAAAGTATTATAGAGGGACCAGCAGTTGGTGTAATAGTTATGTTGCTGGACTCCCACGTAGTTGACTGCAGTTCAAGTCCCAGACCCCGTGACTTAAACTCACGTCAGATGCATGTGCATGCATACCCAAGATCCCAAGAGGAGAATGGAGGAGAAGGGATTGTGGTGTGGTCATCCCCCTGGGGGGTGGGTGATTTCTCACTTTCTGTCTCTCTCTATCTTTCTGGCAAGTGCATGTGCCCTATAGCAAAAGCCTCTGAAAAAAATGTATTATAGAAAACCACCAGCAGGGACACTGGGACTCAAGATAATTAAAATCTAGTCTCCAGTGTAATAAATATTCCTTTAATTCTATGTCCATTAACTTGCAATGACAATACTATACTCAAAGGTTCTTTGAGAAATCTTACCTATAATTATTGCTAAAAAAGTTTTGATTAAGGTGACATGTAGAAGTACAAAACTTAAGGGCACATCATTTTAAAATTGCATTCCTAGTATTAATGACAAACCTGTGAGATAGAATAATTACTCTCAGGCCGGCTGGTGGTGTGGTGTTTAAGGCGATGACTCCTGGTCCTGGCTGCTTGCTTTCTCACTTTCCTTTTCACTCTGTCTCTCTCTGGTCAACGTCAAAGGAATAAAAAATAAAATAATGACAATGAATAAAATTTTAAAAAGTAATTATAAAAAAATAGAAAAGTGTGCTAAAAATTAATTTAAAAAAGAAATAATTATTCTCATATTTCAAATTAGTTTATTGTGGACTAGAATGTTTGGTGATTAAGTCGAAGTTATTCAGTGGTAGATGAGATTTGGACTCAAGAAATTCATAAGCCAGAACTCTGTCAAGAAATCTAACTGTAAAAAAAGTTAAATAACTGCAGTTAACTCAAATCCTAATTCAACCCTGTAGTTAATCCACTTAACTGAGGTAAAGATGAAGCTATTTAATTAAAAATTTAAGACATTGTCCTATGTGGAATGAGTTTCATTCCAAGTCTTCTTCATCTTCTGTTCCTGCTATTCACTTCCTATCCTCTAGCCTGTGCTCCCTATGGCCGCTGCCCCAAATTATCTGAAAGTAATCCAGGCATACCATTGCCCAAGCCTCAGGAATAAACAATTAAATCTTTCTCTTGGTGGTAGCACTGAACTTTGGTAGAATGTGTCCAGTTGATACGCATAACTGGTTACTAATTTGTACTTATCTTTTACATGATGTTCTGATTTGGGATACTGATTAAAGGAAACATAAATATTCTCCATGTGTATTTATAAGTTTGTAATTCAGAATAAAAAGTCTAATAGAAAACCTGGAATTAAGTTGGAAGTGTTTCTGGTATTGCACAATTTTAAGAGTCTAGGCATGAGTCTAATTACTGTTTCCTAAAACACTCTCCTTTTTGTTGCATTTATTCTCTTGCTCTTTCCAACTCGGTGGCTTGAAGAGCTTTCACATCTCTTTTCTGTGAGGCTCTGTAAGTGGTCTTATCATGTCTCCTTCCAACTCCGACTGCTTCTTCTGGGTACATTAGATCAGATTGTCCCAAACCTCTTGCTGAAAAAAGATCTGTTGAAAAGTACATGAGGTAGGTTTTGTGATCTAATGTACAGCCCTCAGGAAGGACACAGAATATCTCTCTGTCTTATCTGTCCTGGACCTTGTGTCTTACCCCGTCAAGTTCCTCACTAGCATAACAATTAAGGAGAGTCCTCAGCTGTGTGGAGGTGGCTGAGCAGGAAAGGTGAAGGAAACAGCTTCTAGAACTTTGGCCTCTATTTTGGTGTGTCAGGTGAGCATTCCAGAGATGTATCCTGTATTGTTGTGAAGACTGTTTTAGGACCATCTTCTTGAAATAACTCTTATTTTCTAAGGAAAAACCGATATTTCAATGTGGATATTTCAAATGCAGTCAGACTCCTTGTGGGATAACCCAAACATTTAGGAGAGTAGACAGTTCCTTCTTTGATGTGTGAGGAGGACTTAGTTTTGGGTTTATCAAGTCTCCAGGGAGCCTTCTATTCACATGCTATGTCTTCTTGCTCCTGAGGGTTTGGGGAAAACAATGGATAGTGTCCACCATAATTAGGACTTTCAGGATGAAGAAGTTCCTTTACCTTTCATTTGGAAATGAACAATTTGTCCCTGTGCCCTGTGTTATGAACATTCCTAAATGTTTCTTGTCTGCCATAGATTTGGCAAAATGCCGCTCTTCTCATCATGGATCAAAGTTGTTTTCATCATCATCTTGGCATTTCCTCTTTTTTCTGGTGAGTAAATTTTCAAATCATGGGTGACGCTTTTCATATTTCTTTCAAAATGCAAAAAACAGCTGCTGTTTTCTAGGAATGGAGAGGTTGTATTTAATGTGTTTGTAATAGTTAAAGTTTTGAAAATGAAGTAAGGCATGTTATAAATACCTTTTTTAGTATGTATCAGTGGATTGCTTTTTCTCATTTTCTACCTCAGACAAGTGGAGAAGAGCAGTGAGTTAGAAGGATAGGGGTCCTTCGATTTTGTTCATCTCTGAATGCACAGGTGAACACCTTTGACCGCCCATTTTCTCTCTTTTGGAGTTCTGATTCTTTCATTGTTAAATACTAAGTATGAAGGTAATGATGTCTTCTAAAACTGATATTCCTTGATAATCTATTCTGTTGTCTACTATCTCTGAGTCCTGTTAATCAAGGCTTTGTGTGAGGAGAGGATTCATTGATCCTTCTGCTGACAAGTCGTTCTTCCCTAGGTAAAATTCAGAATAAAGTAACCAGCAATTGTTGGGTAGACCACTGATTTTAGAGGTAAATAATATCATAGTATGTGCTAGTTAATTTCCTGATATTAATTCAAATTATGCAAGACATAGTAAGTGACAAAACAAGGTTTTGTATCTTTTCTGACTATGCTGTCTCATGTATAAAAACGAAGAAAACCCTGGTTCCTTTGGAGATACTTTAAAACGCATAAAGTTATTTTCCAAATAAAATATTCATTTGGGAATTACAGAATATTTGTGATTTGAGGCTTTTTTGGCAAATTTATGTTTTTGGTACTGCCACAGAAAGCTTATAGCATTATATAGACGGTCATGAGTAACTATTCGTAGATTTCTGCTCCTGAGAAATGTGGGTACTTCCCTTCAGAGGCTCTGGTTTTTCCCCTCTTTATATTTGGTCATTTCTTTGTGTGTTTTTACAGAAACGGTTCTTGCATCCATATCACAATTAGACAAACAGGTATGTTGATACCGATTATCTTGTAAACAAAAAGTAAACTTCCACTTTGTATATTATAAAAGGAAAATTTTTTAAAGAATTATTTAACTTTGTTTATTTATTTTATTTGACAAGAGGACAGAGTGAGAGAACGAAAATGAGAAAGCAAGCCTCCAGTTCAGGAGCCGAAATATGGTCGGCCATGTGGGAATCCAGTGCCCTTAAAAACCACGCCACCTGCTGGTCCCTATTATAGCAAACTTTATGACATATTGTGCACTACAGAATAACCTTCAAAAGCAAAAAATAATAGCAAAGCAAACAGCAATTATAAAATGCTGTGGAATTATTATACAAAGCTAAATCCACTGGACATCACAGACATCGTAAAAACACTCCATTGCTAAAGATTCCAGTAGAGGGCATAAGCTATGCTGTTCATAAGCATCCAGTATATGTTAAGGGTGTTTAAAGAATTGTTCATCCTAGCATAGCAGGAGTATTTGAAACAAACAACGAACCAATGAAATATTTAAGGGTGGATAAAACAATAATTTTCATATATTCACAAAAGAGAATTGTATGTAGAGGTAAAGAAAATGAACTGCAGTTCTAAACATCTCAATGGATAAAGGTACAAAAAAGTATAAAAATCACATCATGTGAGAATACACACAGAATTTTCTTTCTTCTTTACATACAATGTATACAATGTACTTTTCTTTTTTCTTTTTTTTTGAGAACTTACAAACATCCACACACAGCATTTTCTGTGTACATACATTACAATACTGGCAATATTAAACAAATTGTATACATAATGAAATCAATGTATCATGCTATACAGACATGCAAATATATACACACACACACACACACACACACACACACAAAAGTGTTTTTTTTTTTTTTTTTTTTTACCCATGATCATGTCCGGCTGTTAAGGCTGGAGGGTTGTGCTATGAAAGCTTTGAAGGTGCCTTTCTCTCTCCTTCTTCCTATCTCTCTGTCTTTCATGGAAGAAATAAATAACTTTAAAAAATCATGGAATAGGGGCCAGCAGGTTATGTAGGGGTTAAGGTGCTGAACTCAACATGGTTTATCACTGTTCGAGTCCTTAATGAGATGGCTTCAAAATCTGATCAGGTACCTGTGCGTGCATAGCCAAAATTCTGAGCGAAGATTGGAGGAAAAGAGGTTGTGGCATGGCCATTCCCTACATGGGGTAATTTCCTCCTTTTCCCTCTCTTTATCTCCCTCTGTCCCTCTCTGGAAGGACACACAGTCTGTGGCAAAAACTTAAAAAAAAAATGGGGTTTATTTGACCTGGATATGACAAGGAGTGGGGACAAGGTGGTTCAACTACAAAAATATATTCAACAATTTTCATGGCAATTACAATAAAAGCTAGATATGTAAAAAATATATCAATAACATTTTATGTGTAAGTGGTTTGTAAATACCTGCATGCTCATTTTTATTTTTAAGTATTTTGATGTTTAAAAAGGTTCTTTATTCTGAGAGAGAAAGAGAGAAAGTAGCACCTCTGAGACAGTCTTGAGGCTGTGATCCACCCTCAGCTTCAGCCGTCCTGATCATGGGCACATGAGCTCAGTGTACTCAGATAATACTCTGGATCTGAACCAGCGGTCTTCCCATGTGTATTTATAAACCTAAATATAGAATATATTCATTTATTTCTGTATATGACACTGGATAGGAAGAAAACAGGATTTTTTTAAGAAGAGTTATGAATAAAACTTTAATTTTATTAAATTTTTTTAACTCTAAGACTCTTCCAATACGACTGACATCTTAACAACTTGCTGAGGACTTGTAGTTTTTGCCCTCTCTGCCTTAGCCATTTTCCTAAAGACAAAAGCTTTACCATACAAAATATTTCTATTCTAAAACCTTTCCTTGAACTGTTTTACTAAAACTTCATTTTTACCACTGTAACCTTCCTTTTTTATTATTATTTTTAAATTTTTTTTATTATTTATATATCTAATTTAGATTGTTATACATCATTTAGATTGTGAAGAGACTTCACCCAGCATGATTTACACCGCAGTCCAGCCCAGCTGAGACTATTATACACTTCCTCGTCAACAGATAATTAACCTTGTCTGTGCCCCACAAGTTTCTTACCTCCCCATTTTCCCCCCAAATTTCCTTTCTTACGCTATTCCCCTCTCTCATACTTTCCTCTTTATCTCTAGTGTCCATTACAATTTTTAATACTTTTATGTTCTCCAGTCTTTCAGTCTCTTTCATAGAGTGTGGACAGTCGGTATACGTTAAGTGGAGACATACAATGTCTCTCTTTCATAGCCTGACTTGCTTCACTCAGCAACATATCTTCCATATTCATCCACTTTCTATCAGATTTCAGGGTCTTGTTTTTTATGCCTGAATAGTATTCCATGGAGTATACGTGCCACAATATTTCAATCCATTCATCTGTTTGTGGACATTTTGGTTGATTCCAAGTCTTAGCAATTGTGAACAATGCTGCAATGAAAATAGTTGTGCAAGCACTTTTCTGACTGAGTGCTCTCCTGAACTTTGGGTAGATACCCAGGAATGAAATTGCTGAATACATGGTAGTTCTATTTGAAAGTCTTTGAGGACCTCCTTATCATTCTCCACAGTGGCTGGGCCAATTTACATTCTCACCAACAGTGTATGAGTATTCCCCTTTCATCACATCCCCTCTAGCACTTATCATTATTTGTTTTTTTAATCTTCGCCAGTCTGGCTGGGGTTAGGTGGTATCTCATTGTGGTTTTGATCTGCATCTCCCTTACAATGAGGGATGCTGAGCATTTTTTCATGTGCTTTTTGGCTTTTCATATGTCTTCCTTAGAGATGTTGTTTATTCACCTTATTTTCCCATCTTTTAATTGGGTTAATCATTTTTTTTAATTTAAAAGAATTTAATTAAGGGAACCAGCAGTAATCGTAATGGCTATGTCGCTGGACTCCCATGTAGTCGACCGCGGTTCGCGTCCCAGACCCGGTGGCTTAAAACTCACGCCGGGCATGCGTGCCCAAGATCCCGAGAGGAAAATGGAGGAGAAGGGATTGCGGTGGGACCAACCCCCCCAGGGGGTGATTTCTCGCTTTCTGTCTCTATGTCTCTCTCTGTCTGTCTGGCAAGTGCACGCTCCCTATAGCGAAAACCTCTCCAAAAAAAAAAAAAAAAAAGAATTTAATTAACCCAGAGTACAGTGTGGAGTAGCTTCCTTCATTTGTTAAGTAGTCCGTTCAAGTTAAGGGTCATTTTTGGCTGAAGACATTAAGTCATGTTGCGAATGGGCTTATCAACATGCATTAGAAATACAATACATGATTTCCAGCAGAGAAATGATTGCAATTACACAGATAAACATAATCATACATCTATGTACATGCATTAAAGTTACATTTACATATATACAACATACATGTAAAACCTTGCGATTGATGTCATATCTTGTTCCTATGTGTTTTATTTATTTTTTTAACTTTTTATTCTCTTTAAAATTTTTTATTTTAATTTCTTTTATATATTCAATCACATATGTCACTTTGCTTGTAAAGTGAATGTTCCAATATGAATACATTTCTTACCAGTCCAGCTGGGGGTAATATACACGCTATCATCCACAGATAACCCATTTCTTTGTCCCATAAATTCTTGCCTCTATTTTTCTCCTTAATGTCTCTCCTCAAACTCTCCTCTTGTAGGAGAGTCCCTCTTTCCACACTGTATCTGGTATATATAACCATTTTATATGTTTCTATATCGTCTAGTCTTTCGGTTTTGGCCATAGAGTGCAGACAGTCGGTATATATTAAGTGGAGACATACAATGTCTGATGGATTGGTTTTAGAGAGAAGATTTTTGTTTCATCAGATCACAAGTGAGTTTCATGTCATGGTCCACAAAGGATTCTAAGTTGTTAAGAATTTATACATAACCCTAAGATTCATGTTCAGTGGCAATTCAACCATTTTTTTTTCTAGTTTCCTTTATTTATTTACATTCATTCACTATACATCATTATAGCAAACAAAATGAGATTTCCCATCCAGAATACACTGTAAATTGGTTCAATCAAGCACATCAACATATGTGTTATGGGGTTATTTATTTTCTTCTGGGTAAGCTGCTTGAGTTCCCTGTGTATTCTAGTTATTAGTCCCTTAACTGAGGCACAGTAACAGAAATTCTCTCCCATTCCAAGACTTGTTGATTCACACTAATTATGGTGTCCTTTGCTGTGCAAAAACTCCTTCATCTGGTGTAATCCCACCTGTTTATTTTGGGTATTATTGCCTGTGCTTTGGGGGTCTTGCTTAAGAAGTCTTTGTCTACACCAATGTCTCCCAGAGTTTCCCGTGTTTTCCATCAGTAGTTTTATAGTTTGTGGTCTTAGGTTTAGATCTCTGACCCACTTTGAGTTGATTTTTTTAATAGAGATAGATAGGGGTTCAGATTCATCTTTCTGCAGGTGGATACCAGTTTTTCCAACACCATTTGCTAAAGAGCTTTCCCTTTTCCCACTGTATTGACTGGTACACTTTGTCAAAGATGAGTTGGCTTCGTGTATGTGTTGGGTTTTATTGCTGTAGTCTCTACTCTGTTCCATTGGTCCTCATGTCTATTTTTGTGCCAATACCATGCTGTTTTGATGATCACAGCTTTGTAATTTGAAAATAGGATTTTTTTTTAAAAAAAAGTTGATTGTAGGAAAAATTTTCTAATATCTTTTTTTGTTTAGTAGCCAGACTGCAAGAAGTTTGAAAATCGACTATTTATGTGCACCAGAGAAATGCGTCCAGTCTGCGGCACTAATGGCAAAACTTACAGCAATGAATGCATTTTCTGCAGTAGTATGTTGTAAGAACACAAGATTAAATATTGACTTTCCCAAAGTAATGAAAGACCCTTCACAAAATGATAGAAAAACTAGTGTCTCTGATGGCCCAGACACAATATATACAAAAATTAACAGAACTATTCCTATAAATGCATAAGAAAACACTTGAAGCTCCTCTGAAGGTCTCATTTCTAAAAGCAGTTTTGTGTTTGACCTTTCAGTATAAATCCACTAGGTAGTCTGCAAATGTAAAAATCAATTAATTTAATTTGATTACTATGAATTACTCACAGCAGAATAATGACCAATATCAAGGCATTCCAAAGCTGAATGATCATCCCTATAATGTTGATCCAATTTAGCAAGAAACTTGACTAATTATGGGGATCTGCGATCCATCACAGTGGGCTATGCTGCTGCAAAGGGACCCATCTGATGAGCTGCTTTGTCTCCTGAATCTGTGGTAGCCTGTGAGCCTGCCTTAGAGTGCAGGAGTCTAGGACACTTCCACCCTCCCTTCCTGTCTCCTTCCCTCTGAAAAAGTTTGCAGTGTCAAGGTTTAGTCAGCCTTCCTACCCACTGCCAGATTCTCTCTCATAGGGTTTTCCTTTTATGAAATCTTTGCACATTTAATCCCCAAATTGTCTCCTGCTTTTAAAGAACTCTAAGACTAAATCTAATCTTTTTCTTGCCTTGGTTTAGGTGGGTCCCAAGACTGAGTCAGGGCTGAGCATGCAGGTAGTTCCAGCAAAGGGGCAAGGAATTACGCAGGGTTAGATGACAGATGGAGCTCACCTGCCTGAAGAAGTAAAGCACAGATGTTTAAATCCTCCTCACCGAGAAGCATTTTAGTTAATACTCAGAGAATTAAAATTTTTAAAAAAATAATATTTTCTTTCTCCCTCTCTTCTTATTTACAGAACAAGTGAAGTTAAATTTGGATTTGCTCATTGGGGTAAATGCAGAGCTTCTGGCTGAGCTGCGCATTCCTATGGCTTTATTGTAATCCTGTTTTGTGGTGGATCCTACTATACTCTTCTGAATAAGGGTCTTAAATCTCTAGATTATCAGGTGAATCTTTCTATAGTGTTAAGTGGAATAGAAGATGTCAAAGAATCTTTTCAACTCTTGTAACCTATATTAAAGAATTTTTAATGTCCATGTTTAATTATTGAGTGATAGTTTTGAAAAATTATTATCTTGAATATATAGTTGATGATATAAAGCCTAATGCCATTAATAATCATAAATATTTCATTCAATAAAATTTAAAATGATTATTATTTTTGTAAAATGTCCTTATTTTTGGTTGAATAAATTAAAACATGTGTACCTGGGGCGAACAGGTAGCCTAGTGTTTAAGTGCTAAACTCCCATTGCTGAACAGGGTTAAAGTCCTGGACCTGGCAACTTAAAAATCACACCAGGTGCATGTATGTGTGTGTGTCCAAAATTCCAGGAGGAGAATGGAGGAGAGGGGATTGTGTCATAGCCATCCTCCCTGCGGAGTGATTTCTCATTTTTCTCTCACTGACTCTCTTCAGCAAGCCCATGCACCCTATTGCAAAAACCTAAAAGCAGGAGAAAAAGACATGTGTGCTCTTTTTTCCTTTTAATTATAGATGTATTTTATTTTTAAAATTTTATTTATTTTATTTTACTTTATTTTATTTTAATTTTGCATGCACTCACCAGAGAGAGATAGAGTTGAGAGGGAGAGTAACAAATCAAGTTGCTAGGTCTAGGACTTGAACTGTGGTTCGCCATTTGAGAGTCTAGCACCTTAACTACCACACCATTTGCTAGTCTCTATAGATGCATTTTAAAAGATTACTAATAGATTCCTTGAGTGTTATTAGAGTGCAGATCCATTTACTCCCTTAATTTTTTTCCTAAAATATTATCACCTTTAACAGAGGTGTCTGGGAACTTAACTCTAAGCAGCATTCTAGGTTACTCTAGGGTAATCATGAATATTAGGTAACAAGGAGTTTCGTTCTAAGACATAGCACATGTCTAAGATCTAATGCATTATTAATTATATTTTCATTCTATCCCACAAATCAGTCAGACAGAATGTGATCCTGGAATGCCAGACCACTCTACTTGATTTCATAGACCTGGGATCTTCGTTTGCTATCTAACTCTGATGCGTCTCCATTTCTATTTCTCAAGCTACAGAAGCATCTTTTAATTAGGATGGCTAAATATTTATTTTATAAAGCTTCTTATTTATTTCATCCATGAACAAGAAAGATGAGTAAGAGAAAGTGAGAGAGACAACACCCCCAACAGGTTCTTGATGCCGTAATCCACCCAAACTTAAGCCATAGACCAAGGGCATGCACTGCCTGTTAGTACTCAGAGAGGTCTCCAGACCTCACAGAGCACTGGATTTTATTGATATGCCACCATTCCACCTCAAAATGTTCAATAAATACCTGATCTTCATGACAAAAGTATACATTAACTACTGGAGAAAATTACCAATCTACATATACCATACCAGGCCCCCATTTTTTTGCATTAAGAATGTTCACACTTAAAAGAGTTATCTATGTAGAAGCTACATATGTATTTAATCTCTAAAGTTATTTACCAATAAAAGTGCCCTTTAGAATGCGTAATTTTAGAAACACTGTAAAAACTTAGTGCACTTACCAAACATCGATCAAGAGACTCATATGAATTTATCCAGTGTAACTTTTTAAATATTTTGACTGAAATAATTCTCTATATATGGTGTTTTAATATATTGAATAAATCTGAATATATCATAACATAATAAAATTGAGCTAATTAATTTATTCTTCATCTCACATACTTATTTTTTTGAGACTGAGGAGAGAAATAACTTTTATTTTAAAATTTCATGCTTTAAATTCATGTTATATACACTAAGTACTATATAAAATTGTGGCCATCCTGCTTATAAACATAAAATGTTGCCAAGTTAGAGAACAGAGTATTAATAATAATAATTTCTAAATTGACTCGTGGTTTTTTCTTATGTTATTTATTGGGTTAACAGAAGCATTTACCCTTAAAGTTGGTAAACATGGTATCAGAATATTATACAAGCAAATCTGTCTTCTACACAATGGCCCACTGGGTTGCATTTACTCCAAACAAAAACAAAACAAAACCTCTCCAAAAAAAAAAAAAAAAAAGAATTTAATTAACCCAGAGTACAGTGTGGAGTAGCTTCCTTCATTTGTTAAGTAGTCCGTTCAAGTTAAGGGTCATTTTTGGCTGAAGACATTAAGTCATGTTGCGAATGGGCTTATCAACATGCATTAGAAATACAATACATGATTTCCAGCAGAGAAATGATTGCAATTACACAGATAAACATAATCATACATCTATGTACATGCATTAAAGTTACATTTACATATATACAACATACATGTAAAACCTTGCGATTGATGTCATATCTTGTTCCTATGTGTTTTATTTATTTTTTTAACTTTTTATTCTCTTTAAAATTTTTTATTTTAATTTCTTTTATATATTCAATCACATATGTCACTTTGCTTGTAAAGTGAATGTTCCAATATGAATACATTTCTTACCAGTCCAGCTGGGGGTAATATACACGCTATCATCCACAGATAACCCATTTCTTTGTCCCATAAATTCTTGCCTCTATTTTTCTCCTTAATGTCTCTCCTCAAACTCTCCTCTTGTAGGAGAGTCCCTCTTTCCACACTGTATCTGGTATATATAACCATTTTATATGTTTCTATATCGTCTAGTCTTTCGGTTTTGGCCATAGAGTGCAGACAGTCGGTATATATTAAGTGGAGACATACAATGTCTGATGGATTGGTTTTAGAGAGAAGATTTTTGTTTCATCAGATCACAAGTGAGTTTCATGTCATGGTCCACAAAGGATTCTAAGTTGTTAAGAATTTATACATAACCCTAAGATTCATGTTCAGTGGCAACCAAACCATTTTTTTTTCTAGTTTCCTTTATTTATTTACATTCATTCACTATACATCATTATACAAAATGAGATGAGATTTCCCATCCAGAATACACTGTAAATTGGTTCAATCAAGCACATCAACATATGTGTTATGGGGTTATTTATTTTCTTCTGGGTAAGCTGCTTGAGTTCCCTGTGTATTCTAGTTATTAGTCCCTTAACTGAGGCACAGTAACAGAAATTCTCTCCCATTCCAAGACTTGTTGATTCACACTAATTATGGTGTCCTTTGCTGTGCAAAAACTCCTTCATCTGGTGTAATCCCACCTGTTTATTTTGGGTATTATTGCCTGTGCTTTGGGGGTCTTGCTTAAGAAGTCTTTGTCTACACCAATGTCTCCCAGAGTTTCCCGTGTTTTCCATCAGTAGTTTTATAGTTTGTGGTCTTAGGTTTAGATCTCTGACCCACTTTGAGTTGATTTTTTTAATAGAGATAGATAGGGGTTCAGATTCATCTTTCTGCAGGTGGATACCAGTTTTTCCAACACCATTTGCTAAAGAGCTTTCCCTTTTCCCACTGTATTGACTGGTACACTTTGTCAAAGATGAGTTGGCTGTATGTGTTGGGGTTTATTTCTGGAGTCTCTACTCTGTTCCATTGGTCCTCATGTCTATTTTTGTGCCAATACCATGCTGTTTTGATGATCACAGCTTTGTAATTTGAAAATAGGATTTTTTTTTAAAAAAAAGTTGATTGTAGGAAAAATTTTCTAATATCTTTTTTTGTTTAGTAGCCAGACTGCAAGAAGTTTGAAAATCGACTATTTATGTGCACCAGAGAAATGCGTCCAGTCTGCGGCACTAATGGCAAAACTTACAGCAATGAATGCATTTTCTGCAGTAGTATGTTGTAAGAACACAAGATTAAATATTGACTTTCCCAAAGTAATGAAAGACCCTTCACAAAATGATAGAAAAACTAGTGTCTCTGATGGCCCAGACACAATATATACAAAAATTAACAGAACTATTCCTATAAATGCATAAGAAAACACTTGAAGCTCCTCTGAAGGTCTCATTTCTAAAAGCAGTTTTGTGTTTGACCTTTCAGTATAAATCCACTAGGTAGTCTGCAAATGTAAAAATCAATTAATTTAATTTGATTACTATGAATTACTCACAGCAGAATAATGACCAATATCAAGGCATTCCAAAGCTGAATGATCATCCCTATAATGTTGATCCAATTTAACAAGAAACTTGACTAATTATGGGGATCTGTGATCCATCACAGTGGGCTATGCTGCTGAAAGGGACCCATCTGATGAGCTGCTTTGTCTCCTGAATCTGTGGTAGCCTGTGAGCCTGCCTTAGAGTGCAGGAGTCTAGGACACTTCCACCCTCCCTTCCTGTCTCCTTCCCTCTGAAAAAGTTTGCAGTGTCAAGGTTTAGTCAGCCTTCCTACCCACTGCCAGATTTTCTCTCATAGGGTTTTCCTTTTATGAAATCTTTGCACATTTAATCCCCAAATTGTCTCCTGCTTTTAAAGAACTCTAAGACTAAATCTAATCTTTTTCTTGCCTTGGTTTAGGTGGGTCCCAAGACTGAGTCAGGGCTGAGCATGCAGGTAGTTCCAGCAAAGGGGCAAGGAATTACGCAGGGTTAGATGACAGATGGAGCTCACCTGCCTGAAGAAGTAAAGCACAGATGTTTAAATCCTCCTCACCGAGAAGCATTTTAGTTAATACTCAGAGAATTAAAATTTTTAAAAAAATAATATTTTCTTTCTCCCTCTCTTCTTATTTACAGAACAAGTGAAGTTAAATTTGGATTTGCTCATTGGGGTAAATGCAGAGGTTCTGCCTGAGCTGCATAGTCCTATGGCTTTATTGCAATCCTGTTCGTGGTGGATCCTACCTAACTCTTCTCAGTAAGGGTCTTACATTTCTAGATTGCCAGGTGCAGCTTTCTATGGAGTGAAGTGGAATAGAAGATGTCAAAGAATCTTTTCAGCTCTAGGAACCTGTATTAAAAGATTCTTCGTGTCCCTGTCTATTCAGTGGTAGTTTTGAAAAACTATTATCTTAAATATGTAGTTGATTGTATAAAACCTAAGGCCATTTATAATCATAAATATTTCATTCAATAAAAATATAAATAATTTTTGTTTGCTTTTGTAAAATGTTCTTTATTTCTTTGGTTGGATAAGTTAAAACACATGTACCTGGGGCAAGCCCATGGCATAGTGGTTAAGACATCAGATCCCACATGTTTGAACAGGGTTAAAGTCCTGGACCCTGGCACCTTAAAAATGACACCAGGTGTATGTGTATTATGCCCCAAATCCCAGGGGGAGAATGAAGGAGAGGGGATTGTGGCACCCACTCCCCCTGGGGGGTGATTTCTCACTTTTCCTCTCAATAACTCTCTATCTCCAGCAAGCACATACACCCTATAACAAAAACCTAAAAAATATAGAAAAGAAAAAGAAAAAAAAAAAGACGTGTGCAGCCTTATTATTCTTTTAAGTATAGATGCATTTTATTAAAAAATTTATTATTGTTTTCTAATTTTGCATGCACTCAGTAGAGAGAGACAAAGAAAAGAGTGAAAGTGACAAAGCAAGCTTCCAATTCTAGGACTTGAACTGTGGTTGGCCATATGGGGGTCCAGCACCTTAACCACCACACGATTTGCTAGCTGTTATAGATTCACTTTCAAAGATCACTAATACATTACTTGAGTGTTATTGGAGTACAGATCTATTTACTCCTTTTATTTTTTTCCTAAAATATTATTGCCTTTAAGAGAGGAGTCTGGGAACTTAATTCTTTGAAGGAGTCTAGGTTAATCTTAGGGTAATCTTGAATATTAAGTGATAAGGTATTTTATTCTAAGACAAAGTATATATTTAACATTTAATGCATTACCAATTATGTTTTCATTCTGTCCCACAAATCAGTCAGACAGACAGACAGACAAGAGTGTGATCCTGGAATGCTAGGCCACTCTACTTGTTTCCTCTTTTTTTAAGAATTATTTTACTTAACTTCATTTATTTATTTATTTTAATTTGACCAGAGAGGGACAGAGTAAAAGAGAGAGAGAGAGAGAGAGAGAATGAGAAAGTAAGCTGCTAGGTCCGGGAATAGAACTACAGTCAGCCAGGTGGGAGTCTAGCACCCTTAACCACCACGCCACCTTCTGGCCCCACTCTACTTATTTTCATAGACCTAGGATCTTCATTTGCTGTTCAAGTCTGATCTGTCTCCATTTCTATTTCTCAGCCTACTATTAGGAAACTAAATATTCAGTTTTTAAAGCTTATTACTTATTTCATCCATGAACAAGAGAGATGAGCAAGAGAAAGTGAAAGAGACAGCACCCTCAACAGGTTCTTGATGCTATAATCCATCCAAGCTTAAGCCATAGACCAAGGGCATGCACTGCCTGTCAGTACTCAGAGAGGTCTCCAGACCTCACAGAGCACTGGATTTTACTGATATGCCACCATTCCACCCCAAATTGTTCAGTAAATACCTGATCTTATTGGCAAAATATTTTAAAACATTAACAACTGGAGAAAATTACCAATCTGCTACATATACCTTACCAAGCCCACACTTTTTTTCAGTAAAAATGTTCACACTTAAAAGGGTTATCTATATAGAAGCTACATATGCATTTAATCTCTAATGTTATTTTCTAATAAAAGTGCCATTAGAATGTAAAATTTTAGAAACACTTTAAAAACTAAGCCAGTGTACTTACCAAATATTGATCAAGATATATGCATGAATTTATCCAGGGAAAATATTTTAATAATTTAGACAGAAAAAATTCTCTATATTTATGGTGTTTTAATATATTGAATAAACTTGAATGTATTGTGAAATAATGAAATCAAGCTAATTAATCTATCCTTAATCTCACATATTTTTATTTTTTTGGAGGGGAGAGAAAAAAACCTTTATTTTAAAATTCCATGTTTCAATTCATGTTATATACACTATGAAGCCATTCTGCCTATAAACATAAAATATGCCAAGTTAGAAAACAAGATATTAATAATAATCATTTTGGAATAGACTCACAGTTTTTTCTTTTGTTATTGTTGGGGTAACTGCCACATTTATCTTTAAGGTTGGTAAACATGCTATCAGAATATTACCAAGTGCATATGTCTTTTACATAGTGGTCCACTGAATTGCATTTACTCTCAACAAAAGCAAAACCCACTTGCGTTGTACACTAAGCAGTATCTGTATCACAGGTTACAGGACTGGTGAAAGCCAAAATGAATCTCTGACATTGGAGGGACTCTTCAATAGTTAATCTTTGGGTTTAGGGAAGACAAATAGTCCCACAACACATTTCACATGTCTTTAAAATAGCAAGCGTTTGGGGCCAACAGTGGTTTAGTGGGTAAGGCACGCTACTCCCAGATGGCTAAGTTTTGTTTGAGTCCTAGACATGAAGGCTTGAATTACGCTGGGTACATTTGCTTGCATGCCAAAATCCCAGGGGAATGTAGAAGAAGGGATTGTGTCATGGCTATCCCCCTTGGGGAATGATTTCTCTCTCTCTTTCTGTCTCTCCAGCGACCAAATGTGCTCTATAGGAAAAATCTCGCTTAAAAAAATAATAAAAGACCAAGTGCTCAAGCAACTTAAGCTTTTCATTATAATGTTAAATTTAATGCACTTGGGGTTTTCCTTGAATTATAGCTGCAATCAGATTCATCTAACAACACACATACACTGACACTTTAGCATAAGGGCAAATGCTAAAAACAAACTGTTTGGACTTTGAAAGAAAGACCGTAGTATAAAAAACAGTCTATGATCTTACAGTCAGGAAATTCATACTGAAATGTTCTATTTGTGTATGATAAAGACCGAGAAATAATATAATACAAGCATATTACACATTATTTACATGGCTCTTTCTTTTCTAGGTACCTAAAACTTTCATGTTATACAACTCACCACCCTAAACAAGCTTTGCAGAGTTGACACTGAGCCAGATCACTGACAGAAGAGCTTGTACAGTGCTGTAATAAAAAAAAAAATCTATTTTGAAAGCTATTGAATAACTACCAAACACTATAAAATAGGATTTGGGTGCAGTTGTTGGCAGACACAAAGGCCACAGAAATATACCAGGCTTCATTCTGTTAAAGCCCCAAGTGCCCTCTCCACATTTACCATTGTACAAGTTACTAAAAGGATACTATTCATTCTTTTGGCAGTGCATAAGATTGTTGGCTTATTACTGGGTTGGGTGTTTCTAGAGCCTTAAACTTTCAAATGTTCAGTTAATTCTCAATGCTTGGATATCTTAGCTAGATACTTATAATCTGATTCACTAATTGTCAACCAGTATATCTGAATCATAGTGAACATGTTAGATTACTATTTTCCCCCAATACATGGAAAAAGTTAATTCTTTTACCATTTTCTGAATCTAGACTTCAGTGGTTTAAATTTAAATCTACTCAACTGAGAACAATTACTATCAAGTACAGTTAGTTATTTTAAATTGAACTGATGACAGTGCCATTACATCACAGTGCAATGACACATTAATGAGATATAATTATATTTTTACATTAATTTGAAGTTTTATACAGACTTACTTCCTAGTGAAACTGTTTCAGTCCAATGGACAAATCTCAGTAAACAAATTTAAATATTAGAACTCTATCTTACTTTTATACCTGCACTTTAAGTAAAATCTTAAGTTGAAATGTCATTATCTCCTTATCTGAGGATTAAAGGAAACAGGAACCCAGTGGCTTGGTGGTTTGAGAAGAACACTTGGTGATGGTGGCTCACTAGATCAGGCTCCTGCATAGTTCTGATTAGCTTCAGGCTTAGAAAGTAAACGAACTGGAAAAGCCAGAGTTCC